CGAAGCACAAAAAGCATAGCATTCCAGGTACATCTTTGTTCTTATATGCCTTCTGGTGCTAGCCAGATTTCATCTGATCGTGAAGATTCTCTGCTGGTTTCCGCTTATTCTAACTGTTTGCTATATTGTATTCAGTAATGGCATCAATAGCGGTACTCAGGTACGTGAAACCACTTGGAAGATTACTCCAGAAGCATCTCTCTTTTACTATTCGAGCGGCATTTTCCTAAATATTCATTTTGATAACCACGGCAAGAATTACACCATACTGGATGGCTGACCTGCCTCAGTGCCATTGTTAGTATGCTTGAAGTCGAAGTTGCATGGGACGCCCCGGTGCCAAGAGAGTTCCAGAAGAGAGAGGTCGCTCGGTTCTCTCTCACGTGTTTAGGAGTGAAAGAGTGCTATTTTCACCTCCATCCCCTATTACATTGAGTTGTTAATTACTATTATTCTGCCACTGGCTACAGTGATCATATCGGTTGGCCATAAGACCTGACAACGAACGAAAACGATTACGATGGCCCCGTTTTCGTTAGTTGCCTGGCCTTATGGCCAGCTGATATGATTGAAGAAGCGGGCAGATTGATCGACGGTAAAGTTCTGGGCGATGAGAGCGTCTCACCGGTGGAGATCTCATTTTCTGCGTCTGTATTCGAGGTGATGTGCTTCATTCTCCGATTCTGTTCATAAATATTCCATTGAGCAAAGAATAAGTGATGAATATGGGGTGACGTAGAGCCTCGGCTGATGGAGACGAAAGTCGTGAATGAAACAAGCACCCTTACTTCAAAAACCCGAAAAGACGCAAGTCTTGAATCGTCTCTTCTTTTGCTGCCCCAGGCGCCGTGCACGGAGCAGCCTGATAAACTCACGGAACATTATGATCCCTTCCTTCATGAAAGATCTCTACGAATCCATTAATGAAAGTTCAACTGACTGATTCACTATGATACTGGATTAGCTGAGACGCGCATCTTTTCTGATGGCCACGCTTTTCACCAAATGGCTGACGCAACGTAATGTCATCGAATTTCGGATATAGTATGCTATGAAGTCGTAAATGTATACCGCTAAAACTCACATTGGGGAATATATCTTGACCATGTGGCTATGCACCACGAAATTAGATGCGATTTCGGAGCACTAAATATGTAGGAATAATGCATGTTAGGGAGCATAGATCGATGCTTCACCAGAATAAGCTGGCATTCAGATTACCAAGCATTGCGGTAGTTTCTGGTTCTACTACAGTTTTAAGAATTCGCATCTCGCAAACTCTAACAGCTGCGATCACAGATTGAGAGAAATACATGGGAACAGTAGCGTTCTCGACTAATGAGACTTTTCATAACGCTATGCTGTAGGCTGAGTTGCTGCTCTTGGGTAGTCGCACTGATTTTAAAGTAATATTGCGGGTATAACTGCTAAAACATCAGCACCCTCCCAGATATCCAAGCAGTAGACAATTTTTTATGTCGCAATAGTCATCCCCACTGTAACAAGTTTTATTGCAGCGATCGAAATTTCTTAACAATCTCAGTATTGGTTTAGACATCAGCTCAACGAACATTAACGGAAGCAGGCGTACCGTGCTCGATCATGTTAGTGCTTTTATTTGGCTTTTATATCGAAGAGATCTGAATAAATTCGAATAATTTTATGCGCTTGCCACAAATATGTTGCATTTCTCAGGCTTTAAATCAGCACAATGCAGTTATGTTCGGCGTTCAAATGGATGAACATGGCGCATTAGTTGTTAGCAACGGGGAGTTAACTCAACAAACAGAAGGTACAGAAGGTACCAACATTATCGCCTGCTCGGTTGCAAACATAACGTTACTACAATATAACGTTCAGCCATTGTATCAATGGACGTAAAGGTACATTTCAGACGAGTCTCGCGGTAAAACGCTTCTTCTCAATGAGACGATGGAAGCATGCAGGAGTAAACATGCTAGAGTTGTGATCAATGTACTACATTACAACTCGGATGTTGGTAGTATTTTTAATGGAGTGAACTCTGCTACTTGGACACTTGGTACTGATAGCCGACAGCTCAATTTTCAGCTCTTGAATGAAGTCATTAGCTACGTGAGAAAATATGATCTTCTCTCTGATGTCGTTGTTACCAGCTTCAACCCGCTTGTTCCGCTCTCCATCAAGAAGAAAGAGTCACGGATTTTGACAGGTTTGCGTATTGGCTGTTGGTAAAGGAATTATAAGACCCATTGATTGTAAGTACGCGAGCACAAACTCGTACCTGAGATTGGTATCATTCCTGTAGTTTGTGAAGATGACTACAGCGTGCATCACTCGGGTGTAGGTTAGGACTCCACGAGAGGTCACGGCTGCCATGTCTCGCCTCGCCGCGCGCGGCGATTGCAGCCTGATTTTACGAGAGCAACATGGTCGTGCGATTAAGATCCCGGTCCCTTCACATAGTTCTGGCATCACGCAAATCTGCTTGGGATTTTTTCCAAACCAGAATTTTCAATGGGACGACAGTATTTTTGAATGGCAGCTGTGTTATTCGACGGATTGCTGTATTTCCTCAACACGACCTACTTTTTACCGTCTGGCCGTAAATCTTAAACCTTTCAATACCTTACAATTAAGGTGAAAAGAAGGATTCACCCTGAAAAGAATTTTTGTAGATTGCTGATGTATTCTCAT